CGCGGGTGGGTTGATTCTAGGAACTTGAATTGTGAGAAGAGACAAGACGTTGGGAAATGAGTGACAAACGGTTACTCACCAGTGACTCACGGCCTACCCGTACCCGTACCCGGCCGCACCAGGGTCGCAAACGGGTACCCGTACCCGGCCGGGTACGGGTAGCTGGGTATCGGGTAGGGTACGGGTATCGGGTAGGGTACGGGTATCAGGTACCCGGTTGCGACCTCTGGCCCTCTGCGACCGCCAAGGAGCAGCGCTCCATTTGAAAGAAGGAAAGCGAGAGCGTGCCGCGCGCAAACTGGCGAGGAAAATCAAAAGCTCGCGCTCGGATGCCAGAACCCTCGAGGGGGTGCGGGGGGGGGGGAGAGGAGGCACGCAGGCACACACGGCGCACGGTAAATTTACCCACTGCCTCATAAACACCCTAATTCGTTAAAACGCCGGCCACGCCGGCCAGGACCCGAGGGCGCTCACCCGAGGGAGGCAACCGGAGCGCGGCTGGCCCCACCGGGTGGGGGGGGGGGGCGTGTGGCGTGAGGTACCCCCCCCTCCCGCTTTGAGTTGAGTTGGGTCAGCGGCGGCAGTGCTGTCTCTCCCGGCCATTAGCGGCTCCCCGCCGAAGCCAAAACAGCGGCACCGTGGCCCCGCGGCCCCGCAGGCCTGCTCGGAGAGAGCTCCTTAAGGCGCGCGGAGGTCAAACAGCTGAGACGAATCAGCGTATGGCGCGTGTGGCGGCTCCGCACGGGGGTCGGAGCTCGCGCTGTGTTTAACTTGTTGTGGGGGGGGGAGAGAGAGTTATTTTATTTTTAACAGAGAGGTTGGTGTGGGACGGAGGGGGACGCGGGTCTGGCAACGTGCTCCGCGTGAACACAAACGAAAACAACTCGCCGTGTCTGTCATCGACAGAAACTTCTCTCGATTAATGCTGACGTTTCGGATAATGGCCCAACTACAGGGCAGAGAGAGGAGGAACACAGAGAGATTGGTTGACTGGTCTGTCGGTAGCGACCACAACTTATCGCTGTGGAGGTCCCCAGAGTGCGAAAATGTAAGGTTGTAATATTTAAAATCAATAAGCTGTTAATGCACCTCTTCTAAATGTTTCTCCACATTAAATAAGTGTTGTTTTTATTACACATCCCATCAACCACCCACACTTCCAAAAGACCGTGTAGCTGATAGGATACATCAAAAATATACTTTAATTGTTAAGAGAAAATTATAGAAAGGAGGCGCATTGCTATTAGAGTATTTGCACAAGTAATCCTAATGATTATTTTGAGAGTCCAAGGATGAACAGTTTTCTCTGCATAGTTTAAAAGAAATCACTCACAAGTCAACGGCACATGGAAAAACTCGATTTGACTGATCGTAACTAAAATGTAAACAGTTGGAACCTTCCAATTCGTTCGACCAAACATCGCACGGGGATTGACTTTGAGATGCCGGCGTAATGAACCGAAGGTCAAAATTCTAAGTCACGATAACAACGCGCGTTTTTTTATTTTTGTCAAGCAGGGAAAATAGTTTCAAGATTCTTTTTGGGAGGCTTCTGCTCTAGCATTGCTTGCTTGGCCAATTCTAGTTAAACTTCACGTCTGGCTTGTTGCGTGGCGGAGGAAATTGGAGAACCCGGAGAAAATACCACACTTACAAAGGGAATGCACTCAAAGCTCCACACAGATTGATTTATTTTTACTTTCCTGCTCCGACGTCGACCGGCCACCAAAGAGCCAAATGGGACCTTGGAAATTTCACAAATTTCACCGACACTCACCACAAGGCACGCATATGGCTCAAACGGATGTTCACTAAGACGCAGACGCTCAGACACGCATATAGAGGACATGCAGACGCCTAGACAGGCAGAGCTGCACAGAGATACGCAAACCACAACAGCAGCAGCCGCCATTCGCCGCTACGTGGCGGTGATGTCATCGCAGTGCTTGTGCCAGGCTGTGTGCACTTTGGGGCTAACAGACACAGATATGTAGAAAGGCAGAGATAGACACGCAGACACAGACACGAGGCCGATACACAGAGACCTACACAGACAGGCACACAGACACGAGGCCAGACATACACAAAAACAAATATCCCCCAAGTAGCCTGAACAGACTTTTTCGGGCAAGTGCTGTTCGCGAGCACCTATGAAGGCCGGCACAGCACACGAGGGCGTGGGTGGTCAGCACCACGCCTTTGTTTCCCCAGTGGCGATGTTTACACACCGCACAAGGTACTCATTTCAGGGTGAGTCAACGTAGGGGTGGGGGGCCCAGGACCAGTTAAGATAATCGTCACTGGTGTTGGCCATGAGCAAGAATCGAACTCGGGTCACCGGGTCCGCAGTGCAGCAAGCTAACCTTTACACTACCGCTCCCCACACACACAAAGACAAAGATCCCCCGTGTAGCCTGAACAGACTGTAGGGGCAAGTGCTGTTAGCGAGCACCTATGAAGGCCGGAACGGTACACGAGGGGGTGGGTGGTCAGCACCACGCCCGACCGCCTTTGTCTCCCTAGTGGTAAGGTTTACACACCGCACCAGGTACGCATTTAAGGCTGGGTCGACCTAGGGGAGGCCCAGGACCGGTTCAGATAATCGTCACTGGTGTTGGCCGTGAGCGGGGAATCGAACCCGGGTTGCCGGGTTCATAGCGCAGCGTAACGCTAACCACTACACCACCGCTCCTCACTGTGCTCCACACACACATACACACACACATACACACACACATACACACACACATACACACACACATACACACACACATACACACACTCATACACACACACATACACACACACACATACACACACACATACACACACTCATACACACACACATACACACACACATACACACACATACACACACACGTGCACATACACATACACACACACATACACACACACATACACACACACATACACACACACGTGTACACACATACACACACACATACACACACACACATACACACACACACATACACACACACATACACACACACATACACACACACATACACACACACATACACACACACGTGCACATACACACATACACACACACATACACACACGTGCATACACACACATACAAAGACAAAGATCCCCCGTATAGCCTGAACAGACTGTAGGGGCAAGTGCTGTTAGCGAGCACCTATGAAGGCCGGAACGGTACACGAGGGGGTGGGTGGCCAGCACCACGCCCGACCGCCTTTGTCTCCCTAGTGGCGATGTTTACACACCGCACCAGGTACTCATTTAAGGCTGAGTCGACCTAGGGGAGGCCCAGGACCGGTTCAGATAATCGTCACTGGTGTTAGCCGTGAGCGGGAATCGAACCCGGGTCGCCAGGTTCATAGCGCAGCGCGCTAACCGCTACACTACCGCTCCCCACACATACACACACAGACACACACACAGACACGCAGACACGCAGACACGCACAGACACACACAGAAGCGTAGTTCTCCGCTATTTTTGTGGTACCATCACAATCCACAATGAATGCACGACTCCACCTGAAGCTTGGCTGGGCAGTACTCGTTTTGACCGCAGTATTAATTTGGCTTCCCTTAAACCCTTATAATTGGGATTTGGCATGGGAGCGCTCAAAGCCGTAGCCTTGGATTCAAATATTTTAAACCAAAACAGGGATGGGGGGGTGAACAGGACCGGGTCGAACGAACGGGCCTTTTGTTTTTGAAATATGAGGCTACCCACGGCTGTGGGAAGCAAACCGCCACTGCAACTGCACCGCCTCTTGAACGCTCGCTCGGCCAGGGCGAGTTTGTTCTCTCCATCAGATAAGGCGGCGGTGGCGCAAAGTTTCCCTTGGCTCTCCATCAGTTGGCCGGTGGTTGGGTGCAGCTCCTTAACCGGTGGGAGCCAGCTGCCCAGTAACGGTCTTGCGTCCTCCACACTGGGAGGTGACCGTCCGCTGCCGCCCACGGCGGAGCCGCAGGTTTTTGCGCCACCGATGAAAGCGGCCACTTCAGTCGGTCGGTCGGATTTATTTCGGGCAAGCCCCTTTGATCTAAAAGCTCTTTTAGATTAACATTAGCTCAACTCAACGTCATCAGCCACCAGGAAAGACTAAGGACTCATTTGCCAGGAGGTTCCTGCACAAGTTGTTCGCAGTAGGGTTTACGATGTTGCTTCGTGCGGATCTCAACTGAGTCATTTGCAGGTGATTTTTCAGCATTGGGATGTTTTTAGTCAATACCAGCTACAACGCATCTCATGTCGTTTGGCTATGGGAGGGTACCTCTCCAGAACCGCGGGGAGAGAACAGAAAAACTTCGACACGCAGAAAGGTGCCCGAGTTTGAATCGAACACAGGCCCCCTCTCGCTGCGAGGCGTTACCACTGTGCCACTCTGCCGCCCATCAAAGGCCACTTTCCTGGCTTGACTGTGGCCAGACCTGCATTGTCATTTGAAAAAAAACAGTTGGGATTCCAGATTTTTGGATTTACCGAAAAATTCTGAAAATCGAATTTCAGATATCAAATTTCAGACGATCCAAAATGTTTGTTTTGTTCCACACTGATCCAAAAACTGGACGTGACGCCACGCAAAAGACGTCACTTGCCAGCAAGAGTGGCGTCTCGTGGCACTATAGTGAGCGGGCAGACACTTGACACGAGTACATAATGGAAATCTGAAAATCTAAAATAAAATTCTGAAATTGTCCTTAAATTTCCGAAAAGTCCATGCTCTGAAAATATAATATCCCAAACATCTTCCTATTGTACATCACCATCGTCACCATCATCATCGCCATCTATGGCTTAATATCATGCCTCACTCAATAAGTATAAAACAAGTTCCAAAGTGCCAACGTAATTAATAGCACACATGGGAACAAATTCTAACTCACGAATACACACATTAACGCGTCCAAAATGTAGTCCAATTCCGCAGAAGGCCATCTCACACAGTTGGTGGGCTGTGAGTGGTCAACACAGGGTGCCCCCCCCACCTTACTCACCTTGTCTTGCTTGACGACGGCACAGGCCTTGAGCGCCGCCTTCCACTCCGCGCAGCGCTCCGCTGGGGCACACAGAACGGGGAACAGCACCAGGGTCACCGCGGTAACTCATTCACACATCCACGAGACGCCAAATACGTCCGGCGAGTCCTCACTTGACGTGTGTCCGCGCAACGCGTTGTTGCTGCAACACGGTTCTGATTATTGGGGAGCACTTGTCGCACAACGCGGCACGCGCACCGTTAGAACGCGGAACGAGCCTCTTGTGATGCGGTTTCTGAGCGGTCGATGACAAGCTACTTTCTTGATTGGTATGGGAATTCTCAGTATAGGCGGGGAGTGATGCGGTACGCGTCAGCCTAGCCCAATTCTCAGTTCTTTGTCCCGCAAAAGACGTCACTTGCCAGCAAGAGTGGCGTCTCGTGGCACTATAGTGAGCGGGCAGACACTTGACACGAGTACATAATGGAAATCTGAAAATCTAAAATAAAATTCTGAAATTGTCCTTAAATTTCCGAAAAGTCCATGCTCTGAAAATATAATATCCCAAACATCTTCCTATTGTACATCACCATCGTCACCATCATCATCGCCATCTATGGCTTAATATCATGCCTCACTCAATAAGTATAAAACAAGTTCCAAAGTGCCAACGTAATTAATAGCACACATGGGAACAAATTCTAACTCACGAATACACACATTAGTTTCATCAGCTGTAGTTCTCTCAATGTAAGCATGCCCATGAGCCTTCTGCAACCCTTGCGATTTGACTATCTACACCACGCAGGCTGTCAGGAAATGATGTCGTCACACAACCATCAAGCCAACAATAACAACCTGCGATTATAATGGCTAGGAACTATTTATTTGTAACCCGGACTAATCACATTATCGTTATGACTGGGAGCATTAATCACTGTATTGTCAGTTCATAATTATTTTGGACTGAAATATCAACAAAATTTGGAAGAAAAAAATCTAAAGCAACGATAATGGTGTGGAGCTATACACTTTTGCAGTTCAACAAACACATATAGGATGCGGCGATTAAATTATCTGAATGGACGAGACGCGATTATCGGAGCACTTCTATGGTATGATGATGCATCGTAGCTTTCTCCATGTATCGACGGCTCTCCTACAAACCGGCGTCCCAAGTCAAGCGAAGCTCGGGCCCACCGTCAAATCTGCGAAGAGCTCGAACGCGTGGGAGACATCCCGTTGACGCGGGCACGGCGCGGGGACACGACGGGGGCTCTTCCAACAGACGGCACGCAGTGGCTGTCTGGCAGAGGTCGCAAACGGGTTTTGATTCCTTACCCGTACCCGTACCCGGCCGCACCAGGGTCGCAAACGGGTAACTGTACCCGTACCCGGCCGTACCCGTACCCTACCCGGCCGGGTACAGGTAGGGTACGGGTATCGGGTACCTGATTGCGACCTCTGGGATGAAGCCATGTTGCAGGCGCGGGTGGGTTGATTCTAGGAACTTGAATTGTGAGAAGAGACAAGACGTTGGGAAATGAGTGGCAAACAGTTACTCACCAGCGACTCACGGCCTACCCGTACCCGTACCCGGGCGCACCAGGGTCGCAAACGGGTACCCGTACCCGGCCGGGTACGGGTAGCCGGGTATCGGGTAGGGTACGGGTATCGGGTACCGGGTTGCGACCTCTGCTGTCTGGCTGTCAAACCGCCATGACGCCACACACCTTCCAACGGCGTTCAGTCGCGGTTTACAAATTGCACTGCATACTCATTTTAAGCCGAGTCGACCTAGGGGAGGCCTAGAACCGGTTCAAATAATTGTTACCGGTGTTGGCCGTGAGCAGGAATCAAACTCGAGTCGCCGGATTCGTAGCGCGGCATGCTAACCACTACACTACCGCTCCCCACTGAAAATACATCACACGGCGCGGAACAGTCACAGGTCAAGTGGCACTGCACGGATCAGCTGCTGGTACTGTCACGGAAGATTTAGCATTCGCTCAGGCCCACTCACCTGCCAAATCAACATTGCCGGGATAACACTTAGCACACCCTCCTCACCTGTACAGGCATTCAGGTATCCACTATGTTTTGACATATATCCTCGTCTGTTTACATACTAGTACAATAGCCACCCAGTTTATCTGTTAACCGTGTCAGTCACTTAATTTGTAATTTTAATATGATCAGTCTCAAATTAATCTTCCTGAACAGACTTACGCGACAGTGAAACTATTAGTTACCGATGATTCATGTTTCGTTAGTGCAATATTTTCAATTACTCGTGTGATGCAGCTGCTTTTGTTCTGACGTCTATTTTCCTTCATTGCTCTACTTTATTTTATTTGTTTTGCTTTTGCCAATTTGGTGACCCAGATCGCCCATGCAAATGCGACTCATCCTGGTCACTTGAGATCTCACCGAGGGAGCGTGCTCAACAATGGGCAGAGCGTTCCAGAGAGCTCCACGGCGCTCTTTTTTTCTAATCAAACGACCCGTTCGCAGCCCACGGCGCATGCCCCTAACAGGAGCCGACGGTCTGCTGAAGGAGCTGCATCACTGAGTGACAAGACGGTGGGTGTCAAAATCCGGCCAATGAGAGATACAGCGCCGGCGCCGTACCTCCTCACAAACTCGCCCGTTTGCGGGCACGAAGCTCGCTCACTCGTGCCATCGGAAGGCTCTGAACTTCCTAACTCAGCGTTCAACATCCGCCTCCGAGGCTGATCGATGCCCGGATGCGGTCAAGGGATGGCTCCCTATTGCTCAACCATGTTACGTATGCCGATGATCTGGTAGTTGCTGCTCACTCAGAGGAGGAGTCGGAGGCGCTGCTGCTGAACCTGGAGCGTGCCATTAAGAGGTGGGGCCTTACCATCAGCCCCACCAAAACTAAGCACCTGCCTGGGTATTTTGTACCATCGGACACTCCACCCCCACAACTCACAATTGGTGATGGGGCAGTTGTGGAGAGGGTGGAGAGTTTCCCATACCTGGGCAGTGTGCTCATGACCGGCTTCGGTTAAACAGCAGAGGTCTCACTCTGAATCAGTCGAGCAGCATTATCTTTTCATCGGTTTCGTAACGCTATGTGGAAGCTACCTGGTCTGTCGCTCCGCATGAAGCTTCAGATATTCTCCGTCACAGTCATCCCCTTCCTTCTCTACGCTTGCGAAACGTGGACCCCCCTAATGGAGCATCTTCGCCGGTTAGACACATTTAGGCTGGCCTGCCTACGATCCATCCTGGGTTTAACCAGGCTGGATTGTGTGAGGAGCTCACAAATCCTTAAAAGATCTGGACAAAGTCCCATCGGTGAGCTCCTCCGGCAGGCAAGGCTGCGTTGGCTGGGTCATGTAGCCCGCATGCCCAGCCACCGCATGCCTAAACAGCTTTTGTTCGGCCGGATCGAGGGGGCTAAACGGGCGCGGCACGGGCTGGAGAAGAGATGGAGTGATGTGGTACAGGAGGACGTGAGCTGAGTGGACTTGCCGATGACTGGTACCAGCGGTGTCAAGATCGGCCTCTGTGGAGGAGGCTCGTGAAGGACGCTACTGGGCAGTTGGAGGCAGTCGCCCTCCAACAACAACGGAGGGCGGAGGAGCGACGCTCACAACAACGAGCGGAGCGCCGGGTGCCTAAAGCACAGCAAGTAGGCACAGTAGGGGGCACAGGTGGTGCATCTGCCAGTCATCTCGGTCATCTCGGTCATCTCAGTCATCTTAGTCAGGCGACCCGTGGCACCTGCTGGGTCTGCCCCGTGACCTCCTGCCAGCGGGCGTTCGACACTTCACGTGGCCTCAAGGTGCACTTGGTCTGGCACAAGCGTCGTGGTGACGTCACCGCCAATTAGTGGCGGTTGTTGTGTGTGGTGAGGGTGAGTGTGGTGAGGGTGAGTGTGGTGAAGGTGAATGTGGTGACGGTGAGTGTGGTGAGGGTGAGTGTGGTGATGCTGAGCGTGGTGAGGGTGATTGTGGTGATGGTGAGTGTGGCGAGGGTGAGTGTGGTGAGGGTGAGTGTAGTGATGGTGAGTGTGGTGAGGGTGAGTGTAGTGATGGTGAGTGTGGTGAGGGTGAGTGTGGTGATGGTGAGTGTGGTGAGGGTGAGTGTAGTGATGGTAAGGGTGAGTGTGGTAAGGGGTGAGTGTGGTGAGGATGAGCGTGGTGATGGTGAGTGTGGTGAGGGTGAGTGTAGTGATGGTAAGTGTGGTGAGGGTGAGTGTGGTGATGGTGAGTGTGGTGAGGGTGAGTGTGGTGATGGTGAGTGTGGTGAGGGTGAGTGTGGTGATGGTGAGTGTGGTGAGGGTGAGTGTAGTGATGGTGAGGGTGAGTGTGGTAAGGGTGAGTGTGGTGATGATGAGCGTGGTGATGGTGAGTGTGGTGATGATGAGTGTGGTGATGGTGAGTGTGGTGAGGGTGAGTGTGGTGAGTGTGGTGAGGGTGAGCGTGGTGATGGTGAGCATGGTGAGGGTGAGTGTAGTGATGGTGAGAATGAGTGTGGTGAGGGTGAGTGTGGTGAGGGTGAGTGTGGTGAGGGTGAGCGTGGTGAGTGTGGTGATGGTGAGTGTGGTATGGGGTGAGCGTGGTGAGGGTGAGTGTGGTGAGGGTGATGTTGAGCGTGGTGAGGGTGATTGTGGTGAGGGTGAGTGTGGTGAGGGTGAGTGTGGTGATGGTGAGGGTGAGTGTGGTGAGGGTGAGTGTGGTTAGGGTGAGTGTGGTGATGGTGAGGGTGAGTGTGGTGATGGTGAGGGTGAGTGTGGTGAGGGTGAGTGTGGTGAGGGTGAGTGTGGTGAGGGTGATGTTGAGCGTGGTGAGGGTGATTGTGGTGAGGGTGAGTGTGGTGAGGGTGAGTGTGGTGATGGTGAGGGTGAGTGTGGTGAGGGTGAGTGTGGTGAGGGTGAGTGTGGTGATGGTGAGGGTGAGTGTGGTGATGGTGAGGGTGAGTGTGGTGAGGGTGAGTGTGGTGAGGGTGAGTGTGGTTATGGTGAGTGTTGTTATGGTGATTGTGGTGAGCGTGGTGATGGTGAGCGTGGTGAGTGTGGTGATGGTGAGTGTGGTGAGTGTGGTGAGGGTGAGTGTTGTTATGGTGATTGTGGTGAGGGTGATTGTGGTGAGCATGGTGAGGGCCCTCGCTGTCAGGGTGGTGAGTGTGAGGCCACCGTGGTGCTAGGGTGAGGCCTTGGCAGTGAGTGCGAAGGCCTTCGCAGTCAGGGCTTGTGAGTGTAAGGCCCGCGCGGTGGTGGGTGGTAGTGGGTGGTGGTGGGTGGGTGGTAGTGGGTGGGTACCTCTCTTGGCGGGGTCCCCCTCCTCCAGGAAGCCCCGGAACCTCTCGGTGAGTTCGCCGTCCCTCACGCGTCCCCCCTGGGCGAGCAAGAACTGCAGGACCCGGTCCAGAACGGGACCCCCCTCAGCCATTGCCTGCCTCGCTCTCGGGTTCGCCGCCGTCGCCGCCGGCTCCTCCCCCCCCCGCAGGCCCCCTCCCCCTCAGTAGCCCCCCCCCTCAGTTCCCCCCCCTCAGTTCCCCCCCCCCCCAGTCCCCCCCCTCGGTCCCCCCTCCCTCAGTCCCCCCTCCTCAGTCCCACCCCCCTCAGTACCACCCCCCCTCAGTTCCCCCCCCTCAGTTCCCCCCCCTCAGTTCCCCCCTCATTTCCCCCCCTCAGTTCCCCCCCTCGGTTCCCCCCTCAGTTCCCCCCCTCAGTTCCCCCCCTCGGTTCCCCCCCTCGGTTCCCCCCCTCAGTTCCCCCCCCCCTCAGTTCCCCCCCTCAGTTCCCCCCCTCGGTTCCCCCCTCTCGGTCCCCCCCCCTCATTTCCCCCCCTCAGTTCCCCCCCCCTCAGTTCCCCCCTCGGTTCCCCCCCTCAGTTCCCCCCCTCATTTCCCCCCCTCAGTTCCCCCCCCTCAGTTCCCCCCCTCGGTTCCCCCCCTCATTTCCCCCCCTCAGTTCCCCCCCCTCAGTTCCCCCCCTCGTTCCCCCCCCCTCAGTTCCCCCCTCAGTTCCCCCCCCTCAGTTCCCCCCCTCAGTTCCCCCCCTCGGTTCCCCCCCCTCGGTTCCCCCCCTCGGTTCCCCCCCTCAGTTCCCCCCCTCGGTTCCCCCCCCCTCAGTTCCCCCCCTCGGTTCCCCCCCTCGGTTCCCCCCCTCATTTCCCCCCCTCAGTTCCCCCCCTCGGTTCCCCCCCTCGGTTCCCCCCCCTCAGTTCCCCCCCTCGGTTCCCCCCCTCAGTTCCCCCCCCCTCAGTTCCCCCCCTCGGTTCCCCCCCCTCAGTTCCCCCCCCCCCTCAGTTTCCCCCCCTCATTTCCCCCCCTCGGTTCCCCCCCTCGTTCCCCCCTCGGTTCCCCCCCCCCCTCAGTTCCCCCCCCCTCAGTTCCCCCCTCAGTTCCCCCCTCGGTTCCCCCCTCAGTTCCCCCCCCTCAGTTCCCCCCCTCGGTTCCCCCCCCCTCATTTCCCGCCCTCAGTTCCCCCCCCTCATTCCCCCCCCCTCAGTACCCCCCTCAGTTCCCCTCCTCGGTCTCCCCCCCTCAGTTCCCCCCCTCAGTTCCCCCCCCCCTCAGTTCCCCCCCCCCCTCTGTTCCCCCCCCCTCAGTTCCCCCCCTCAGTTCCCCCCCCCCTCAGTCCCCCCCCCTCAGTCCCCCCCCCCTCAGTCCCTCCCCCTCTGTTCCCCCTCCTCAGTCCCCCCCCCTCAGTTCCCCCCCCCTCAGTTCCCCCCCCTCTGTTCCCCCCCCCCCTCAGTTCCCCCCCTCAGTTCCCCCCCCTCAGTACCCCCCTCAGTACCCCTCCTCAGTCCCCTCCCCTCTGTTCCCCCCCTCAGTCTTCCCCCCCTCAGTTCCCCCCTCAGTTTCCCCCCCCTCTGTTCCCCCCCCCTCAGTTCCCCCCCCTCTGTTCCCCCCCCCCTCAGTTCCCCCCCTCAGTACCCCCCTCAGTACCCCTCCTCAGTCCCCTCCCCCTCTGTTCCCCCCCTCAGTCCCCCCCCCCCCTCAGTTCCCCCCCTCAGTTCCCCCCCCTCTGTTCCCCCCCCCTCAGTTCCCCCCCCTCAGTTCCCCCCCTCAGTTCCCCCCCCCCCCTCAGTTCCCCCCCCCCCTCTGTTCCCCCCCTCAGTTCCCCCCCCCCTCAGTTCCCCCCCCTCAGTTCCCCCCCTCAGTTCCCCCCCCTCAGTTCCCCCCCCTCTGTTCCCCCCCCCCTCAGTTCCCCCCCTCAGTTCCCCCCCCCTCAGTACCCCCCCCCTCAGTACCCCCCCCTCAGTTCCCCCCCCTCAGTACCCCCCTCAGTCCCCCCCCTCAGTCCCCCCCCCCCTCAGTACCCCCCCTCAGTCCCCCCCCTCAGTTCCCCCCCCTCAGTACCCCCCTCAGTCCCCCCCCCCCTCAGTTCCCCCCCCCCCCTCAGTACCCCCCCTCAGTCCCCCCCCCTCCGTTCCCCCCCTCAGTACCCCCCCTCAGTCCCCCCCCCTCAGTTCCCCCCCCCCTCAGTACCCCCCCTCAGTCCCCCCCCCTCAGTTCCCCCCCCCTCAGTTCCCCCCCCTCAGTTCCCCCCCTCAGTTCCCCCCCCTCAGTTCCCCCCCCCTCTGTTCCCCCCCCCTCAGTTCCCCCCCTCAGTTCCCCCCCCCTCAGTACCACCCCCCCTCAGTACCCCCCCCCTCAGTTCCCCCCCTCAGTACCCCCCTCAGTCCCCCCCCTCAGTCCCCCCCCCCCCCCTCAGTACCCCCCCCTCAGTCCCCCCCCCCTCAGTTCCCCCCCTCAGTCCCCCCCCTCAGTTCCCCCCCTCAGTACCCCCCCTCAGTCCCCCCCCTCAGTCCCCCCCCCCCCTCAGTACCCCCCCTCAGTCCCCCCCCTCAGTTCCCCCCCCTCAGTACCCCCCTCAGTCCCCCCCCCCTCAGTTCCCCCCCCCCCCCCCTCAGTACCCCCCCTCAGGTCCCCCCCCTCAGTCCCCCCCCCCTCAGTTCCCCCCCCCCCCCTCAGGTTCCCCCCCCTCAGTACCCCCCTCAGTCCCCCCCCCCTCAGTTCCTCCCCCCCCCCCCTCAGTTCCCCCCCTCAGTACCCCCCCTCAGTCCCCCCCCCCTCAGTTCCCCCCCCCCTCAGTACCCCCCTCAGTCCCCCCCCCCTCAGTTCCCCCCCCCTCAGTACCCCCCCCCTCAGTACCCCCCCCTCAGTACCCCCCCCTCGGTCTCCCCCCCCTCAGTTCCCCCCCCCT